AAAACAATCTAGACGCGCTTTTCCACCCAACAACACAATCAACGAAAACGAAAAACAAGCCCACTTTTCGTTTGCTTGATTCTTCAAGGGGGGAAAAAAAGCCAAGATAACGATCAGGAAGCCGATTCAAAAACCCTAAACTTCCCAGACAGTTGGAAAGGATAAAATCACAAATACCTTCGGTAAAAGCTGACTTGAGACCCAGCAACAGAGATCTTCGCAGCTGCTTTTTATGTCTCTAGAGAAAGAGACGATGACAAATAAAACCCAAAAGTCGTTACGATATGAGAGAGATTCACTCGAGTAAATTAAAAAAAAAAATCTTGAGGAGAGAGAGTGAGAGAAAGCGATAGAAGTTGCAATATTCAAAAGATGAGAGCCTATACAGTAGAGCACTTTAGAAGCGGTCAGTGAAGGCGTCGCTGGTCTGGTACTCCGGTTGCCCCGGCAAGCGCCAACCACGAACCTAGTTCACGTGCACGACGCGTGCCTTGCCTTGCTCTTCTGGATGCTTCCAACTACTTATAACGGTACTTCTTTTGTATTTTCACTCAGCCATGGCCTGCCCCATGGAGTCGTAAAATAGAAACCTCATTAACCCAAATACTAGCAGCTTTTTTTTTTTAATGAAAAAATATAACTTTATTAACTATTTTATAAATTTTAATGCAACGTAGAAAGATAAAAATTAATGCTTTTGAAGCACAATAAATGATTCAACGACCTCATTTTTGCGGTGAAACTTGAAGTCATACCATATATCCTAAATTACAAGAGAAAATTTTAAAGGTTTATGATGTCTTTTTTTTTTTTTAATTAGGTTTCATTTGACAAAATTTTAAGAGTAGGCTTGACCCACTTAAAAAATAAATGATCAAGTTTTCATATGAAAAAAAAAATTGAAAAGATGAAAATGACGAGCATTAATTAATGGCATAAGTGGAAAGTGGGATTAATTTTCAAACATAATAAATTAATTTTAACAATTTTTAATAAGTGTATGATAGGTTTTTTCCCCTTATAATTGGTATGAAGCATTAAAGATGAAGTATATGAATTGGGAGTGATTGACAAAATCTATTAAAAAAAATTTAATATAAGAGGTTACTTGTTACGTAGGATTAGATAAATCCATGTATGTGGGATTGAAGAATACCATAAGAAAAGTGGTATTACCCAATCTTATCTTTATGAATTTGCCTAATCCCATGTAAAAAGTAATTATTCATACTAAAGACTTTTTTATTTTTTATTTTTAATTATAATCCTAGTCTCTATTTCTAATTTTCAATGCTTCATACCAACTGATACCTAAGTTTCTTATATCCATTGTGTGAAGTTCTCTAATCAAATAAAACCATGTGTATTATTTTTGAAACATTAGTATGTAATTATCAACTCACATACAAATTCTCCAATTACACATAACCATGTGATTTTTTTTTAAAAATATTAACATTTAATAGTATTTAATTATCAATAGTCAAAAAATAAATTAGGATATATGACCAAGTGTGATTAAAAATTTTGACATAATAAACATAAAAAATTTGATTTAAGTATGTTTGTGTTGGCAAAAAAAAAGACCTAACTTTTTTCCAACTTTTTTCCCGCACACACATACCTTTTTTTTTTTTTTTTGGGTTTGAAAAGTTTAAGTAAGTCGAGCTCATCAAGACTATAATATACCTCCAAACTAAAAAAAAAAAAAGCTTATAAAGGCGCTAACTGATTTCTACTAAAAAAATTTTCACATCAATAATAAAATTCAAACTTACGATTTTGTAAATTATAAACTGATTCCCGAACTAATTCTCGCTGGCTACTAGTTCTCTTCTGTATGAAAGAACTTGCGCGCTCGCCCAGAAACTGAACGTGGCATGAAATTCGAAGGGCTTTGATCAAAATGGAGGAATTTATATGTGTGTGTGTATGTTGCCAACGAAGAAAACTTCCATTCCAACGAAATGTAGGAAGACAGGGTATTAAATAGTACAAAGGAAATAAAGAAAAGGTTAAAAAAAAAAACTAAACAAAAATGGCAAACACGTATACAGCTAATGTCCATCAGGCCGCATCATCCTGGAGGATTGATTCACAAGAAGCTTGTTGAAGCTTGCCGTATTTTGATGAAACTAAACGAACTATGATGTGGCAAAAATAACAGGTAAAATGATACGTAAAAAAGCTAAAAAATTGCAGTGTTCCAGTTCAGGTACTTAATATTTCAAAATATTAGAAAGAAAGTGGTGTTTGATTTGAGATTTTAAAATTTAAGAAAAATAACAAAAATGCTCTTGGTTTTTTTACCAGAAAAAAGTATTGTTAATCCCAACTCAAGATTTGTAATTTCACAATCAAGATTTATTATTTCTATGTGGAGTATTGTTATTTTTAATTGATTCACATGCTATGTATCAGGAAAAAAATATATTGTTAATCCCAAATTAAAACTTGTTATTTCACAATCAAGACTTATTTTCAGATGAAGTGTTGTCATAACCTGGTAAAAACACCAAAGGCAACTTTTTTTTGATTTTTTTTGAATTTCAAAATCTCAAATCAGGCACTGCTTCCTTCCTAGAAATTTTAAAATCTTAAATATCTCAATTAAAATATTATAATTTTTTAACTTTTTTGTATCTCATTTTCTCCAAAATATAACTAAGAGAAGAACATAATATATCGAACGAGATTTAGAGAGAACAGTCTACTATATAATACATCTAGTGCTTAATATAAGACCCAATTAATTAATTTTAAAAGATTAAGGAAGTTATCAAATTACTTTAAAGTATTTATATCGTTTTGATTTATCCCATTTATAAATTCATATCTAATCTAATGATACACGTAAGTATTACAAAAAAATTATATAGCATATGTTATAATTAAATAATTTAGAATAATTTTTTTAATCTCACTAAAATAGTTTAACTGAATCTTAATATCTTGTACTCCTCCGGTTCTTAATATAGAACACAATTGTTGAGTTGGTTTTAGTTCTAAATATAAGACTCATTTTTTATATTTATCAATTTTATCTAAACTACCCCTATGGATACTCCCTCAATCATAATTAAATAAAAGAGGAAGATGGGGTGTTAAGAAAGATAATTATGGTATTTTAGGAAAAACGTGTCACATTTCTTATAATTAACTAACTTATCTAACTTTCTTAATCTAATCAAATTAATTAAATAGGTCTTATATTAAGGATCACAGGAGTATTAAAGAGCCAATATAATATATATTTAATGTTCACTTATCATTAGAACATTTCAGTAATTATATTTTTTTAAGCTTCATAGTAATTTTCCATGTAAATAAATTAATATAAATAAATTTTCCAAGATGCTAAATTTTTTTTGTGAGTGAGCAACATGCAAAATTTTCTACTTTCATACTTTGTGCGTGTTTATTGAATTAATCTCGGATTTCACATTTCTTATTCGCTGTGTTATAAAATCTTAATAAAAATGAGACGTAAAATAAAAGAGCAACAAAATTTAATAAAAAACTTTTAACCCTATTTCTTCAATTTTTTTATAAAATTAAACTCATAAAAAATTTTCTTCTTTTCTCTTTTCTTCTATTTCTTTCACGCCAAACGGATCTTTAAATCTAACTGTTTGATTCACTATTTGTTATTTTTGGGTATTTAGCTTGTGCATATAGATTAATTCTCTATCTAATATGAATGAAGTAGAGCTTGATTATTGTTATAATTAATTATTAATATCAATAACATTGAACATAAGTGATAGAAACACATTGATATCGATGAGTGACTTGATTATTATGTTTAATTATATTATTTTGATTTTTAGCAGCAATGTCATTTTCAAGCCAACTTGAGACTACACATTGGCTCTTATCGTGGGACCTCATCAAAAGTTATGTGAAAGCCTCAGCTTTATCACCGGTCACAACCACCCTGAGTGGCTTTTTTCCATGTCACAACATTCAAATTTGATCAAATGTTTTCATAATTGGTGCTCAAAACAAATGGTGCCTCCAGTGGTTAAAAAATTTAAGTAACTAATTGAATAATATTAAATAAATTAGTTAAATTGATTATTTGTCACAAATATATATTGCTTTTTTTAAGTTATTACATTAGATGATTGTAATTATCCTTTGATGAGAATCCTTTATAATTAATAAAGATATTTGAGAAAAATAGAAGACAAAACAGATATTTTATATTTATGACCAATTTTAACTCCAGTTAACTTTTATATTAAGGATCGAAACTAGTAATTAATTAGACACTAATAATTATCATCATTCAATTACGAATATGTTTGATTAAAGATTACTCAAAAGCTATTTAATTTATGTGAGGGCCTATTAAAAGGTTTTCTTTTCTTGACTTAATCAAATTTAACATTTATTTAGTTAATATTAACAAAATATATTTATAAAATAATAAATTGCACAATTTAAGTCAAGTTGTTTAAATTCATTAGGTTAAGTTTATAGTTATATTTACAAATAGATATATGTGTTTTAAGAAATAAGAACTACCAGCACTAAAAACAAGTATTTATACGAAAATTTACAAGTATTCATAAGTAAATTTGCAAATGCACAAATGTATTTTAACAACTAGTTATAACAAAATAATTAGAGAATCTGACCTTATAAATAGAATTAATTTGACCAAAGTTTTGTTCTATGTACAACATTTAAGAAAGTTAATAATACGGGCAGACTTAACGTTTAGCAAAACGTATTTAATTATTTCATATGTAAGTTTATTTGACTGATTAATGATTAATTATTATTGTTACCATTTGCTAAAGTGAAGGGAGAACAAGTAAACGAGGCGTATGTGTTATGTCAAATAAGCGTCTTCTTCCAAAAATATAGGATCTGAAACAAAGAGACAATGCCATTCCCATAATCAACTTGTTCCAACAAAAACAATAACTTTCTCTCTCATTCAACTTGATTTCTCCACATTTCTGGGTTTCTGACATAGAATTGACGCGAAAATGGACGCCACACACAGCATGTTTTGTCGTCAAAACGATTTGATCAACCCTCTGAGCTCAATGGGCATGCAAGTCTCCTGCATTCTCGTCATCTCACACTTTTTCAACGTTGTGCTTAAGACATTCGGTCAGCCCGGACCCATTGCGCAAATTTTGGTAACTTCCTCTTTTTCCTCAATCGGAACTTTTTAATTTTGGGGTTTTTCACTCAATCATGGAAGATGATGGATTTGAATCATTTCATTAAAAATTTGATAGCGTCAATTACTGTGTAGTTTTTAGTGTTTGACCCACTCACGTTGGTGGGGGTCTTTATCACTGTCTGAAAAAAGAACTCTATCAAATTGAAATGGAGAGATTCAAGTTCATTGATGATGATGAAATTGTGGTTGTGTTATTGTTGAACAGGCTGGAGTGGTACTAGGGCCAACGGCATTATCTCATGTTAAGCAAATACAAGAATATTTTTTCCTTCAGAGTTCTACAAATTACTATGAAGTTGTGAGCTTCTTCTGCAGAATCTTCATCACCTTCTTGTTTGGATTAGAGATGAATACTCAATACATGTTGCTCAACCTACGTCTAGTCAGTTTGGTAGCCTGTGGAGGTGCAGCAGTAGGTGGAATTTTTGGTTTAGGAGTGTCCTTTTATCTGTACAGGCAGTTAACAAACAATGCCCCTTTGCCATACTTCTGCCTGATCATTATGCTTATCGTATCATACACAAGCTCTCCCTTGGTGATTCGTTTGGCATCAGAAATGAGGTTGATTGCATCAAACATGGGGCGAATCGCGGTTTCTTCTGCACTAATCACAGAAATGACTTGCTTGTTATTTTTCAATCTGTTAGTTAACTGGCATACAAAAAGTATTCTGGGTGGATTAGGTTGCCTTGTAATTACTGGGGTGTTGATTCTAATAAACAAGCATTTAGCCTTGTGGCTAAATAAAAGACATGTAAACCAAAAGTACCTAAAGGCTCCTCAACTATTACTCATCCTATTCCTTCTTGTAGGGAACTCAATGATTATAGAAATTTGGGGTTTCAATAGTATAATTAGTTGCTTTTTAGTTGGCTTGATGTTTCCCAGGGAAGGTAAAACAGCTAGAACATTGATACATAAACTAGGTTATTCTATTTACAACTTTATACTTCCAGTGTACTTTGGCTACTTAGGCTTTCAGTGTAACCTCATTGCCTTGAGAAATCTGAATGATGTAACCAATGTTGCCATATTGATCTTACTGAGCATTGCAAGTAAGCTTAGTGGCACTCTTCTGGCTTGTCGTTACCTTCAAATTCCTCCAAGTGAAGGTATTTTTCTTGGCTTCATATTGAACACCAGAGGCTATGCTGATCTTCTATTTTTTGGGGCAGCTGCCAAGGGAATAATTGTAAGTTTATGTCTTGACTTCAATTCATTCACAGTTCAAACCTCAACTTTTTGTACTGATTCATTGCCTCTTTTTTCCTTTTAATCTGCAGAGTTTTTCTGCAGAAGCTTACAATGTGTTGTTAGTAGCAGTAGTGCTTAACACAATTATATCAGGAATAATTGTTGCTTCTCTGACCAGAGCGGATGATAAAATGTTTGCAAACCAACATACAACTCTTGAATCACAACAAGTGGAGGATGAGCTTCGAATTCTAGCCTGCATGTATGATCCTCGTCAAGTATCTGCTGTACTAGCATTGGTTTTAGCAATAAATGGCTCCAGAACATCACCGGCTACCATTTACTCAATGCACCTAATAGAGCTTGTAAAGAAGATCAAGTCAAATATGTTATACCATCAAAAAGAAAATGCTGAGCTTAGTGATGACGACGACTATGGTGGCAATGATGTGGTGGAAATTAATGAAGCTATTGACAACTTTACTACTCAGACAAAGATTTTGATCCACCAAAGAAAGGCAGTATCTGCTTTCCCAAGTTTGTATGAGGATGTCTGCAATGATGCAGAGGACTTACACGTAACAATTATTTTGCTTCCTTTTCACAAACACCAACGTATTGATGGAAAATTGGAAAGTGGGAAGGAAGGCATAAGGACTACAAATCAGAAGGTTCTCAGACATGCCCCTTGTTCAGTTGGTGTCATTGTAGAAAGAGGACTGAGTAGAGTTCCTGGCTTTTCACAACTAACTGCCTCTGAAGGCATACAAAATGTTGCAACACTTTTCTTTGGAGGTTCAGATGATCGTGAGGCCATTGCTTGGAGCATACGCATGGCGCAACACTCTAAAATCAACTTGACCATCATCAGGTTCCTACTCGCCTCTATGCCACAAAGTGAGACATCCACCGAAGAATCAGAAGACAAAGAAATTCTCATGTCATTGTCAGGGCAAGAAACAGTGAATGAGATTGATAATACCTTTATGGTTGATTTCTACAACCGCTTTGTGGCGTCAGGTCAGATCGGATATGTGGAGAAGTTTGTGAGCAATGGAGCACAAACAGTTCAAGTTTTCAAAGAAATAGGGGATATGTATTCTTTGTTCATAGTAGGAAAGGGTGGAAGAGGACATTGTTCACTGACAATTGGTATGAGTGACTGGGAGGAGTGTCCAGAACTTGGAACAGTTGGTGATGTCTTGGCTTCTTCAGAATTGGCCATTCATGGCTCAGTTTTGGTTGTACAACAGCATAGGGATGTGAAGAAAAACCTGATGAATGATTGATAACAGAAAGTGTAAACTTAGACATTCACAATTCGATATATTGAGTTTTGTGTACATAATCTGTATATATAGATATAGAGAGGAAGATTTCTATTTTCTTTTTGGGTATTCAGGTTATGCTATATTCAAAGAAGATGGTGTTAGTTACTAAGATCAATGGTTTTATGATCTTTTGGGAAACCTGTAGGATGAAAAATGGGCTTTGGGGCCTTTGCCATACACTACAGAGTTATGGGATTTTCTTTTTAGTTTTTTCTTACCAAAGAGTTATAGGGTTTTATCAAAGGGGGGGAAAAAATACTTATATAGGCTAGTGAAGTTTTTAAACATTCAATCAAGTGATAAAAAGTATAGAAAAAGGAATGAGTTCATGTAATTCTCCTCAATTTTTAATCTAGTCCCGCTGGTTTCTAAATATTTTATTCAATACCAATATTTTTCTTTTCATTTCTAAATATTTTATTAATACCAATATTTTTCTTTTCGCATGTCAGGTTTGAATCTTTGACCTTTATCCCCATCTCATCCCACCCTTACCACTTACACAAATTTTATAGGAAGATTTCAATATATATATATATATATATTGAAGTAATCTGTAAAGCGTAAACTAATAGTAAATCTCATCTATTATTAATATTAGTTTTTCTGTCAAGTTGTTATGATTATACAAACGTGGGTTTGAGCATTTCTTTTGGAATGTGAATTTGGGGTTTACGTGATGACAATGCTTCTTTTGCCAATAATGATGAGAATGCTAAACTAATCTAATTTTCATCTAATTTCATTTCTTTAACAATAAGTGCAAAACTTCATTTTCATTGTTTCCCTCCGAGTTCTCTGCCTTCAACGCTATAAGAGAGCCAGGCGGACCAATAGACACCCGACTGCATTATTCCTTTTTTTTTTTTTTTAAGGCCAGGACACCCAATTGCATGATTAGTCTCATCAAAGCAAGAGCGAGTAATTTTATTGTTTCTTACCTGTTCTGATAAAAAATGAAAAATTGAGAATAAATCCCTCACTACAAACTTAATCAGCATATGATCAGTAGGATAATAAATTGCACAAAAGAAGATAAAGTGCACGAAAAGAAAGTTAAATTACATAAAAAAATGATTTATATAAAACATTATTTGGATATAAGAGTTTAATTTGCATATTAGATGACTTAAACACAAAAAAAGTTCAGTTACATAAAAGGAAGATGAGTTATAGAGAAAGATGATTATACTATGCAAAGGGTGATGGAATTACATATAAAGAAAGTAAAATTGCACACAATAAAAGTTGAATTGCATGAAGTTTTTTTTTCCAATAAAAAAATATTTAAAAAAAGATTTCTCTTTTAATTTTTATCATTTAGGAATGGGGTTACGTATGTGTTCTAATTTTGTTTTTTTTTTTTTTTGGCTTTCATGGCAAAACATTCATATCTATATAATCAGCTTATTTCCTCTTTAAATTATTGCATTTGAGAGTATTTTAGTTCCAAGTGGATTTTTATTGAAAAACAAGGCTGGCAAAGAAAATGAACAGAAAAGAAAAGAAAAGAAGAGGAAAGGAAAGACAAAGAAAACAAATTTCAAAAAAAGGAAGAGGAAAAAAAAAATAGAACAACAAAAGAAGAGCAGAGTGATCGAAATCCATCTATGTCACTGGCATTGCAGAATCCAAGCTGCTTTCTTTCCTTTCTCCAAAGAACCAACTGATATAAAGTTGCAAACAACAAAGAAAGAAACTTGTGATCGAACTTTGTCGCTGCCCATACCTTACTTCAAGGTTGCTTCCGCAATCTTCTTATGTCACCCTCACTTATTTCTTCGAGCCCCAGAATCAGCGGATTTTGTTTGAGTTCGCGGTTGGAAGTACCGTTTCTATGAAGCCTGTTGAAGGATCACTGAACGCCTTGGTAATTAGTTTGCGTTTAAGGATTATATTGATGATTTTTATTAAGGACATGGCTTCATTGAGTTAAATTTGGGTTTGATGTGGTTTTTGAATGCATACTTTTTTATTTATTTAGTTAAATTTCGTGAACAATTTTTAGTCCATGGACGAATAAGTTAGTATGGATGATTCAGCTTGTGATTTCACTTTTGGTTGATTAGAAGATGGTGTTTGTATTTTTATTCCGGAGCTTGTACATGCGTACCCAAAGTTATTTTTGCAGTTTAAGTGAAAGACTTTTTGCTGTTTAGCAATTGTGAACTTAGCAGATTGGGAGGAAAAATGGACTGAAAAGAGTGTTTACTGCGCTTGATATGGGCTCTGTTCTTGTACTGGATCAGCAATTAGAAGTTTGGATGGTTACCTGTGGCATAAAAAAATATGCGAAGTTTGGCTGGTTATCAAGCTCAGTATAGAAGCTATGGAGTGTTATTTTAAAAGCTGATTCTTCAAGTATGAAAATTTCTTGATTATAATGGCAAGCTGAGATTTTTCATCTGCGAGCATGTGTTGTTGTTGGCTTGTTGTTGAACAACCCCTTCATTCACAACTGTTTTTATGAACATCTTTTTCATTTGCTTTTTTTTTTTTTGTGAATGAATTTATTTGTTTTTCTTATTCTGTATTACCATCTGGAATAAGCCTCTGGTTTACTTTGGTATTTGTTGCAAAGGATGCCTGGGGCTTGGGAGGAAGGATTGGGGAAAGAGGCATAAATTTGGAATAGGATCGAATCCTTAATATCTAGCTCATGACATTCTTAAAGACCGATGTGGGTGTCATTTAAACTATTTGCAGATGTATCAACGTAGAATTCTGGCAGACCTGTTTCTGTCTGCATTAAGATCCTGGCTGATCTGTCTGTGGCATACAATATATTATCCTTTTTTTGTCAATGGCCTATTTTCTAACAGTGGTTGCCCCATCTATTAGGATATGATGGACGTTGATATTGATGGATTTAGCTAGAATCTACCCTGTCAATGATCCTATGCATGAAGAAGATAGAGGTATCCCTGCCAGACTTTTAAATAGTCCATTAATTTGATCATTCTGTGAATTATGTTTGATGAAACTTTATTGTATAGACTATAATTCTTCCCTTTTGTTTTATCTAAGTGTTTAACTCTCTGCTTCTATTTTCACAGGTTCAGATGTAGTAGACAGGTTTCTACAAGTTAAAAGAAAAGTTCAAATTTTTTGTATGGAGATAGACCTTAAGCAGCCATCAGGAGAATGTCATGATGAAGACAGTTGTAATCCTATTGTTGCTGATTTGGTTGATGAAAACAATAGTAATGAACCCAGAAGTTCTTTAAAAATTGTTGGAAATGATAAGGAGAATGCAGGGCTTGGTATCAATGCTGAATTAGCAAATCATGGAAATGAAGGGTGCACTGGACAAGGAACCAACTTGAATTCTTCAAAATTACCAGAGCACCATGATGGGATGGAATTTCATTCAAAGGAGGAAGCATTTTCATATTATAAAGATTATGCAAAATCTGTGGGATTTACTGCTATAATAAAAGCTAGCCGTCGGTCCCGAATATCTGGAAAATTTATTGATGCAAAGTTTGCATGTACCAAATATGGAAACAAGCAAGAACCCTGTGCAACTGAAACTTCAAATTCTCTTTCAAATATAGATAAGATGCCAAGTATTCCTGTAAAAAGGAAACGGGGTAGAGTGAACTTATCTTGGGTAAAGCCAGATTGCAAGGCCTGCATGCATGTGAAGAGAAGGCAAGACAATCGATGATCATCTGTAGTTTCATAAAAGAACATAACCATGAAATTTTTCCTGATCAAGCATATTACTTTAGGGGAAATGGGAATCTAGATCTAAGAAGTAGCAATGGGGATGCATTACAGATTACCAGGGCTGGAACCAAAAAGATGAAGGCTGGCAATAGAAAAGGTAGCAGTGGAAACCATTCAGGTAACAGATAGCATCTGGCTTAGATGAAGCAAATGTCCATGCTTTGCTTGACCATTTTATGTGCATGCGAGATGAGAATCCTAATTTCTTTTATGCTATAGATCTGAATGAAGAGCAACAATTGAGAAGTGTTTTCTGGGTTGATGCAAAAAGTAGGCTTGATTATAGACACTTTGGTGATGTGATTCTTCTTGACACCACACATATCAAGAATGAATATAAGCTTCCTGTTATTCCCTTTATTGGTGTGAACCACCACTATCAATTCCTGTTGCTAGGATGTGCAATTGTGTCTGATGAGGCTAAATCAACTTATACATGGCTGCTACAGACATGGTTGAGGGCAATGGGCGGATGTGCTCCAAAGGTAATACTTACAGACCAAGACGAAGCTCTAAAAGAAACTGTCGCTGAAGTGCTTCTAGGGTTTGATCATTGTTTTTGTTTGTGGAATATCCAGAGCAAAATTCCAGAAAAGCTAAGTCATGTAACACGACATGTCCTGAGTAAAAAAGGTTTTTCATTCGATAATTGCTAATTAAATACCATAAAATAAATTAAAATTAAAATATATTTTTTATTTTTATATAAAAATGATTAAAATGAATGGAGATTAAAAAAATGAAAATGAAACACGGAAGTTAACAATGATAATAATCAATCTTCCAACTCAATAACGCAGACAATCTTTACTTCAAAGTTAAAATAATAAATTAAGAATTATAATTAAGCTTTTAATCCAACAATCAAGCCACTTCAAATTGTCACCAAATATTTTTCAAAACCCCTAACTGCAATCAGAATAATAAAATAAAATTAAAAATGCTAAAAATAAATGCTTAATTAAAACTTCTAAATACAAAACAAAAGAATTAAAACTAGTAAAAAACAATATGATCTAAGAGTCTAGACTATCTCAGAAAATCACAACCTATTAACTCTAAAATCAATACAAATGTCATAACCACAATATTATAATTAAAATTAAAACTATAAATAGCCTAATATTAAATACTAAATAGTAATACAGTTATAATAATCTCTAAATATAATCAGATTAAACTATACAAATTTTTCAATAATCAAAATACTATTGTTGTTAAATCAGAGAATTATGAAACTTAGCCACGCATAACTTCACAATCTACTTCAATCAGCTCCCTTGTACCGTCGGCCACGGCAGTGAAGAAGACGGTGGTGATGATGATCCTGTGGAAAGGAAGAATTCCCGTCAAGCTCCCCTTTCCTCTTCACGCCGTCGGCCTCTGCTTCTCTACCTCTGGTTCTGTTCGTCTTTTTTGCTCTTGCCGTCGCCCACTGTTGATTCCAGATGGAGGAGAAGAAGAGGATGAAGGTGAGAACGATGACAGGTGATTTTCCTCTTCACGCCGTCGACTCCACTGGTCCTCCTGCTCGCCTCTGGTTCGCTCTGCGTCTGCGTCTGCGTCTGCGCCGTCACTCCTGTCGGTCTGCTGCTCCTCGTGGAATATGAAGACGATGAATAGTTGAATTAGGGGTGGGAGCAACGTTTTGCTCCCCTTTTATTATTATATGTTTTTCTTTTTATTTTATTTTATTTTTTTTAAATCTTCTAAAAACCTACAAACAAAATTTAAGAATAAGTTAGTATTAATTGTTTTTAAAAATCAATTAATTACAATTAAATCAAAATATAACAATTTTATCTGTTTAAAATGATAATTCAAAATAAAACATATTAAATCAATTAATAATTAAATAATGTAAAAAATGAATATTAAGTTGATAAAAATCCACTAAAAAGATATGAAAACATATAAAGATAATTGAGTTTGTTAGCAAATATGCTCCAAAGATAATACTCACGGACCAAGACAGAGCTCTAAAAGTTGTCGCTGAAGTGCTTCTAGGGTTTCATCATTGTTTTTGTTTGTGGCATATCCTGCGCAAAATTCCAGAAAAGCTAAGTCATGTAACACGGCAGCACGCAAATTTTATGACCAAATTTAACAAATGTGTGTTTATGTCTTGGACAAATGAACAATTTGAGAAGCAATGGTGGAAAATGATTAGGAGATTCGGTTTAAATGATGATAATTGGTTATGCTCAATTTATGAGGATCGTAAACACTGGATACCTACTTATATGGGCGATTTGTTCTTAGTAGGAATGTCCACAAGGCAACGATCAGAAGCTATAAACTGTTTGTTAGACAAGCATATGTAGAGGAAAACTACAGTGAGAGTTTATAGAGCAACAGAAAGTGATATTAGGAGGGAAATGTGAAGAGGAAGCAAAAGCTGATCTTGAAACTTTCCATAAACAACCAGCATTAAAATCCCCCTCACCTTTTGAGAAACAAATGGTGCCATTGTACACACGAACAATATTTAAGAAATTTCAGAGTGAGGTCTTGGGAGTTGTTACTTGCCATCCAAAAATGGAAAGTGAAAATGGACCAACAAAGATGTTTAAGGTTCAAGATTTTGAAGATAATCGACAATTTATTCTCTCGTCAAACAATATAACGTATGATACATCTTGTTCATGCCATTTCTTTGAATTCAATGGTTTTCTTTGTAGGCATGTAATGATTGTTCTGCAAATTTCTGGCGTGCACCATATCCCATCTCAGTATATACTAAAACGATGGACAAAAGAAGCAAAGAATAGACAAATACCAAGAGAGTTGTCAGATGTGGTGGACTCTAGGAGCAAACGCTTTACTAATCTCTATCAACTAGCATTTAAATTGGGTGATGAAGGGTCTTTATCACAAGCAAGTTACACGACTGCTGTAAATGCATTAGAAGAAGCTTTGAGAAAGTGTGAGAACATGAATAACTCAACTAAGAGTGTCATGGAACCAATGTTACCAATTCTTGGTTCTAATCATGTGAATATGAGTGACTCCGCTTGTAATATGAGTAGAAGGACAATTCTTTGAAGAAAAGACAGGTTAGTTAGAACTCATTCAGTCATTATACTCATTTTATTTATTTATCTATTTATTTTTTATTGTATTAAATTGACTACTTTTTTCCACCAATATTATGTTTTAATAAGTACTTCCAAAGCCAAAGATCATTGCCATCGGGGTTGACAGCAGTTGGCAGCAAATGGTTGGTTCATTGTTCATATAAAAGAAAAATCTGATTATTCTGTTATATTACAGTAGCAATGCTTTTTTCGCCCCTCAACAATTTTGAGTTGAACAACTAGTTAGTTGGATTTTTTATGAATTGTATTCTTTATAGGCCAATTGCACAAGAGCAGCAGGCCTTGATTATTCTTATGAATCACAGCAGAGCATTCAAGAAACGGTATGGCATAGTCTCATTGTTAATAGATGCACTTATAGTAAGCATGGTATTATGGTGTGACTATTTTCCAAACCACTGGAACTTTATAGCGTTTGAAATTTGGGCCCCTTTTGTTAATTTTATTTCAGGATCAGCTGAACTCAAGATCTCAGAACTTGGACGCCTATTATGCCTCTCAACAAATTGTTTCGGGGATGGTAAGAAGTCCTTTAAAACTGGGGATCAAGAAATTCATTTCTACTTTAAACACCCATATATTGTGCACTTGGTAATATTGAATACTCTGACAGCTCTCTGGTGTCATGTTTTAGGGACAATTGAACACAGTGGCCGCCAACCGTATTGAATTTTTCAGCAACCGTAACATCCAGGGCCAAGTAATGCAGATTTGGTTGGTGTTTGGTGTGTTTTCTATATTTTGTATTTTTTTGGGATTCAACAGTTGAATTTGGGTTGATCTATGTTGCAGGGACAATTGAACTCAATCACTCATATCCATGATGCCCACTACATCACTCCACAAGGGATGAATGGGATGGTATGTTATTCTAGCATATTTTCTGAGGATTAGGATTGGGATTACTTTTAATATAACCTTTTTTAATACTGAGAACTGAAGAGAGGAGAAAATATTTATTTGAAATTCTCCAATGGCTTATCTCTTTTCAATACCTCATCAAACTTTGATTCTAGGTACGCACAGTTCATCATTATTCTATGACATTACCTGGTAATATCCCTTGCATTGCGTCTTACAACTCTTGAATATATGCAAAGCTAGGGTATTGCTAGCTATTCTTGCTGTGTATCATTATAATCAGTCAGGCATTTTAGTGATGACATCCTGCTGCTGATTTTTATGTTTGTAGGTGGAGTTACATTTCAGACAACAAACTAACCCAAATTGTTTTGATGTTCAAGATGGCTTGCGAAATGTGGTACTTGAGTTAGCACTGAAATTGCTGCTGTGTACTTTTCTATCCCCCAGACTATTCATAATGGTTTTTTCTACATTGCAGGAGCAGTCCTCTGAAGGATCCTCACAGTTACTTGAGATTGGAGCCAAACAACTCAATTCAAGGAACCCTCTGCAATAGTTAGGTTAACTGATAGTGAGGTGTAGATGGTCATTTATGTTCAGTGTCATATATTTGATAGAAGTCAAATACTAACCCCTTTATCTGATGAGCATAGATTCATCCCATTCTGGCATCGTAGGGCCTAATGAAAAGTACCAACCCATATTTTATTCTACTTTTGATAGAAAGAGAAATGTTACTAACAAGAGAGTTATAGAAGATGAAATGTGACATCTCCAAATGGAACCGCATAAATAAAGATGAACAAAAAATGGATTCATGTGACAAGATTTTAAATTGAAATGGAGTTAAGCACCTCAATACCGCTCCATTGGAATTTAAATCATCAAAGGTCCTGTTATAATAATCAGTAACATTTGTAGGTTACATGGTCCAGAATAATAGTCCAAAATAATGGCTTTTCGTATGAACAACTTTTTGTGGTTTTTGTGAGTCCATGGAGTGTGGCAGTGATGCAATATTCACGTATCCTCTGAGAAGGTAAAATTAACAACAGTCCACGGTTTAATTTCATCGGCATATTAGATGAACCTAAAATGTCCAGGATATGTGAATATTTTTTTTTTTTATTGATATAGAAGGCTTAGTTTATGCTCTGTTTGGGGGACAGAATGAAATGAAAGTAAGAAATGATGAAGAAAGTGGCTTCCAGGATGAAAAGTAATTATCATACCCCTCCTTTGAAAAGTGAAGGAGTAGAATACTACAAAAAAATAGGATATTAGTAACGGAATAATTCCGTTGTTAATCTCTCACAAATTCCATCACTAAAATTAGGAATGGAATTTAGTCATGGAAAATTTCCGCTGCTAAATTAGTGAAGGATTAATGACGAAATTTTCCAAAAGAAATTGTGAACTGGAACTCAAATCTCAAAGTATGGTTGAACTCACTTCCATGGAGCTCTTAGTCCTGTCAAATTTTCCAAAAGAAATTGCGAAACACACTACTAAAAAAAATTACCTTTTAGTGGTGACAACCAATCATTGCCGTAGCAACTGTTGCTGAAACTCATCAACAGTGATAAAATGAGTCACCGCTAAAACTCTCATTTTTAAAAATTGATTTTCAATAACTATTCTAAGAAGTCGCCGCTAAAAGTACCCTTTCAGTAGCAACACATATAGTCGTCGTTGAAAGTAGGATTTTCAGTGGTGATATTTGAAAGTCGTGGCTAAAAGTCGTTTTTTTTTTTTTGGTAGTGGTATACGACCCTTCATTTGGGACTACATATGTATTTTCAAGTGGGGTAAGGCTGGGTGCTCAAATGAGTCTATTTGTGTGGCGATGAGATTATTAGGTTAGTTTAATATTACTATATGGGTTTTGACAGATTTTGAATCGTCTTCCTGGTCAAAGTTTTTATTAAGATTTGAAGAAATAGGAATGAAGGATGATTCTGGCGACATTGATGAGTTTACGATAATGAATGGAGATTATTTAGTGTTTGTTACAAATACTAAGGATGAATATAAGTACGATTTGATTGGTACGAGAGAGAGAGACTTGAAAAGATTGGCGAGCACACATTAATTTGACCGATTTTTAAGCTTCATTACTTATTCTAATGCTCTTCGTTCATGCGGAGCTGGGACAAAATATTTCATATATTTAAAATCTGAGAAATGAGCAGCAAATAGTAAGTAGTCTCACCTTAACCAAATAGTCATATTATGCTACCTTCAATTTTTAATATAAGAGCTAGTTAACTAATTTAAATAGATTAAAAAACTAATTAAATTAATTATTTGTAATAAATAAATGTTATCTTCCTTAAAATATTTTGGCTAATAATATATATTAGTTAGAACTATAGCATTCAATAAAAACTTTAATACGTACAACCACTACAAGGACTACCTTGGGAATAAATAGATAATTATGAGATATAAAGTGGATTGAGGTATTATATTTAGAACAAAATTAAATGATAAACTAGTCCTTGTATTAAATACCGGGGTACTGTACAGTTGAACTTTGATTTCCAACATATTGTGTTTTGATTGATTGCAGGTGTTATCATGAGAAGCTCTTCTTAGTCATGCCAGGAATTTCAGAGTCAGATTCCAATATCATTGATGCAGAAAGAGGCGCTTGCATGTGTCATGGGAGCTGAAAAAAAGGGTGGTGATATGAATGAATCCTAATTTAGATTTTGTTGGGAATTTAGGGGTGAACATCCCATTATTTCTACGTGCTCAAATTCTGATGAGTTGTTTTTTTCAGTTGGGATAACGTATATGTAAGTCCCTATAGTTTCAGTTAAATTTTAATTAGGTCTCTATGGTCTTTCTTTTCTTTTTATCGTGTCTTCATAATTTTACCCTGATAGATTTAGGTGACTGATAAAATGAAAAATAAAAATCTCACTAACAACTTTATTCATTTTTCTATTTAAGTTGTGTTCATGTTTTCGTTATGTTTCTTGGCTTTCCATAAATTGAATAATTATTTTAGCTTGACCATGTTGAATGTTTTTCTTAAATTCTGCCATGGCCATGGTTGACAATTCTATATTATGTGCTTTGAAAATGTTGCTTACCGATAAATAAAAAACTACAAAAACTGGATTAAAAATAAGTAAAATTATAGAGACCTTATAAAAAAACTATAGACACCTATTTAAAAATAGATTATACTATAAGAACATGATAAACATAAAACAACTATATATAATGACTAGGGGCGGTAATATAGGCAAACCCGTGACGGGTTAGGATTAGGGGGTGTGGGCTAAAAAGGCCCCATGTAATGGCGGGTTAGCTTTTAGCCAACCCTAACCCACCACAGTGAGTTTATCTTTTCTTTAAATACTTGATTAAAAACACAAAATAAATAAATGATATAGGTTTTTTATTAATTTTTTAGATAGAATATATAATATAATATTAATATACATATAATGATTAATAAAATTTAAAAAATGCAAAAAAAAAAATGCGGGTTAGCCTACGGGTTGGCAAGCTAACATACGGCGAGTTGTGAGTTGGGCGGTGCGGGTTAAAAAGCGTTGTTTATCAACGGGTTGACTTTTAGCCAATCCTAACCTTTCATTTTTTGTGGATTGGGTTGGACCTGTGAGTTCAACCTATATTACCAGCTCTAATAATAACTTAATTAAAAATTAAGTACGTGAAACTATATGACCTTTCAAATTATTTAAATAAAATTTTGCTATGATGACTGTAAATATAGGATTGAACTTTTCCTAAACAAGTTTTTTCGTTTGTGTTTTTATTTATGATTGGAATAAATAACAAATTGTGTTGAAGGAAAATTAAGTTACGCACAACTTTTTTCACAAAGAGCATATATAGTGTTTTAAGTGACTTACCCATATACGAAGTCTTCAAATATTTAAAATTTTAATTTTTATCCTATCACTATCTCTATTCCTTGTTTGGATTCAAGTCACACCTTCCCAATTAAACATACATAAGTGACGATATTATTATAAACAGTTGAAGAAAATTAAATTTCATATGTGTAGATATTTAACAATTACCTATGAACAAAGTCCTTATATGGATACTAGATAGTGAAATCTGGATTTGATCTTCATCAAGTTTCAATGTGCAAGACATTTAAAAATTTCTTAAGAGCAATTAAAATTTTTCCCCAAAAAATTTCCTTAAAAATATTAGAATTACTTATCTCCATTCCTTAGGGTGTGTTTGGATGAAACCAAACCATGGTTTGGAGAATAGCTTCTGGAGAATAGATTCTGAAAAAAATAGTTGAGAAGAATAGATTTTGTGAAAAAGTGATTTTGAGAAGTGTGAGTGTTTGGATAGTTGTTATTAGAAGTACTTTTTATATATACAAATTGGCATAAATTAATATGATAATTATAGAAAAAATATATTTTATGATATATTTTAATTTGAAGGAATAAAATTGTTAATAATATATTTTTTATTAACATATATTAATAATATATAAGATAATATAATTAATAAATAATTAATATGTATATATATTTATAAGATATAAGATTAAATATGTTTATAAAAAATATGTTTATAAAAAAAAACAAGATACATATCCTATAGGCTCTCACACTCTTCCTTTTTTCTCCAAAAGTAAAAAATTTGTGTTTTTTCCAAAACCATGGTTTTGGAGTCAAAACCATGGTTTTGAATCCAAACCATGGTTTTGATTTTTTTAAGGGTGTTTGGCTAACATTTTTCCCAAACCATGGTTTGGGGTGCTTGCCAAACACACCAATATGGTCAATTCCCCAGTACTTCCTTTGTTTAGAAATACCAAATGAGATAAATTAAAATGTATATACCTCAAAGCAACACACTATGAAACCGCCACCAGATCAACTTGTAAGATTTGAAGTGGTGGCATTAAGGATAATGCACATATGAAAATCTCATGGACATCAACTAAACATGTTTATAACAGATATAAAAATAATGAATGGCCATTCTGTTCTTACCAATAGAGTACATATAAATGTATGCGAGGGTTAAAGCGTAATTTTGCATCAAAAGTTTTTACTGGATTAATATAATATTGCTCCAAAAGTGTTTTAAAAAAATATCGTCTTAACTATTGAAAATACTAACAGTCAACGGTAGCTTTTTTTTTCAATAGTCAATGGTATTTTTTTTAATGGTTACAGAGATTTTGCTTCTTTTTTAACGCTTTATAATAATATTAATTAATCCAACAAAAATTTCTGAATAACCATGGGTGTTCCTGCGCTAGAAGATCATTCGGGATAATATTAAGGAGTAAAAAGAAAACGAATTAGTTAATTAATTAACACGGAATAATAGCGAAAAAGATGAGGGAGTTTGAAATTTAAAATCTAATTGGGATAAATTATTTAGATATTGTAGAATACTAATAGATATTCTATTAGATATATTACAGATTTTAGAACATAATTACTACATATAATTATTTTTTAATATTTATTATTTGAAAGCTAATTCAATTATAAATCCTTATTCTATTCTATTATTTCTAAGCCTAGTGTATTATTTAATAAGACTAAAACTATGTACACGCCAACCAAGCAGCACAACAGAATTATCTACCTTCGGATAAACTATTTTTTAAATATTTCTTTGCTATATTTTTAGTAATATTTATATATCCGAAGAAATCCTGTTCGGTTATTTTGATTATCTATTTTCGCAAATACAAAGATATATGCAAGTTATTGAATTTTTATGTTTCTTTGTTATGAATATATATATATATATATATATATATATATAATTGAACGATCCATTCTCACATCGGGACATTCCCTGCATATATTACTCCCTCAGGCTCCTCCGACGTGGCACGGTGACTGACGGCGAGAAGAGCGACATAGCTACAGACAACAAGGTATCTTCTGTACGTCCAACCTCTGTTTATTTTCTTCTGCTGGCTTTCTGCATTATAATAAATTCCATATTACAAGAAAACCTATGGCTTATTGATTACATAGGAGCTTGCCAAACAAGCACTTGTGATTTGATACAAAGCTAAAAGTGGATTTATACTCCCTCCCCTCTCCTAAATACAGGAGGAGCTAGTTTAGGGTTTATAAGGACTCAATCTATGGATCCTCTAGAAAAAATATTTTTATGTAAATCAAAATCAAATTTCTCTCACATATTTATTTCTGATTCCATAAAATTACTTTTAAAATCATATTTTGATTTCTTCCCAAATACTCCCTATATGCTTTTGGCTCATTTGGATCGGTTTGTTTTAGATGTTTATATACTCGTAATATACTCACTTTATATTCTATAAATCATTACTAAACAACTGCTTTTAAAGGCTTCTATCATTATTCCAAACAAGGGCTTTATTATCTCTCACATTTATAACTATTTTCTCAAACTATTCTTATTGAGCGCACATAGTAAAGAGGTTTTTATGGAGTCACAATAATTCTAATGATAATTTTAAGAAGTATTTGAGAGAGGGAGAAAAGAGTATTAATTACTACATAAGTTTTACAAATAGTCTTGTAATAAGGAATAATTTGCCTTACAAATAATCTTTTTGCTTGAAGAGCTTTACATTAATTCGACTTGACTTTGATGCAGGATTAGTTTATGTTTTTGGTGTCAATCATGTCTATCCTGTACTGCTTCAACATTAGCATAATATATCTTTGTTTCAATTAACCACTATTAATTAAGTTGATTAGAGATTTCATGGTGCTGTAAGATGAAGTGCATAATATATCTTTGTTTCAGTCACAAAATTGCAATACAAAATTTCTACTTTGTTTTAAATATTCATTCTGAGAAAAATTTCTATATGTGTTATAGCAGCTCATAACTATGGATCAGCTACGTGAAGATATCATATATGAGATATTCTCATGGTTACCGGCAAAATCCATCTTAAAGTTCAAGTCGTGTTCTAAATTTATATGTGAATTCTCAAAGGAGAAAAATTTCACAGCCAAGCAAACTCAAAATATGACCCTACAAGATGATTCTTCATTTTTCATTCAAGCATTCTTTAGATTGAATAATATCAAAACTGAAATGCATGAATTATTTGGAAACAAAGCATCATCATCTTCATCTTCTGCGATTCCTCCAAACTTTCTTCACTTTCTTAATAAAAAGAAAGTGAGAATCCTCTTCTCTAGCAATGGACTGCTTCTATGTAAAATCACAAGACAGAGAAAACCACAAGAAGTGGAATTATTTATTTGTAACCCCACAACACAAACATACTCCTCCATTGCTACACCACCTGGTTTGTTAGAAAATCCTCATCGTCTATCCTTTGCCTTTGGATGCAACCATAATAATAAAGGAGTTGATGATAATGGGGAGTATCAGTTAATTCTATTGGAATATAATGAAGACCAAGAAGGATCAGAGTATTTTGTTTGTAAAGATTACATGCCGAAAGAAGGTGTGTGGAAAGAGAGAGAGAAAAGCTCATTTATGGGTCAAAAGTTATATTATCATGGTGCTCCATTTAAAAAGTACATATTAACATACAATTTTGAGAGTGGTGAGACAAGAAGGGTTCTTTATCCGAAAGAAGTTGTTCAAAATGGGTTTGATGGAAGAAAGTTCTTCAAGTGGGACAAAGTTAGAGGATCAAATATGGATATGGATGAGATATGTTTGGTGGTTTTGGAAATGGATGATCTTGTCTTCACTTTCTGGCTTTTGACTGATCATAAATCGTCTTCTTGGTCAAAGTTTTTGACATTGAATTTGAAAGAAATGGGGTTGGATAGGTTTTCCTTGATCTATGAATTTGCAATATTGAATGGGAATTCTTTTGTTTTTGCTACAACAGGATATGTGTATAGGTATGATCTAATTGGTGGAAGAGAGAAAAAACTTGAAAGAATTTGTGAACACAATGGCGAACATAGTTTGAGATTGGAATTCATCTCTTATTCTAATACTCTTTGTTCATGTGGAGCTGATGCCAAAGGCTTGCCCTCCTTCCTGTCAAGAAAAAGAAGGAGGAATTAATTAACTTCTATGGGATGAAGAAAATCATCATCTTGATTCATAGTTTAAATTTTGTTCATATGTTCCCTTCAAAACCATAGTTTGATGGATATTTGATGAGAGGAAAAAACTTGTACTGCTTGGTTAAGAATTTTGTTGTTGTTGTTGCTTTTGATGTACAGTTTAGTTTGATCAAATGTATATCAGTTTTTCATTCAAAAGAATCATAATGTTTAATTTAGTATGCTCCTGTATTACGGCTATCCGTATATTTATTTGATTATTTATTTATTTCAGCCAAATGTATTTATTTTGAGAAAAATATTTTGCGTGTTTTTATATTTTTCACAATTTTTAATTTCGTATCCATAACTTTTTATTAAATCATTTAATTTTAATTTGTTAGCACCATTAATAATAATAGCCAGTCGCTTGATAATAATTTCTCTTTTTACATAAGACTCTTAACTAATTTTTAATCACTTTATAACCAACAACGCACCAAACCACTAAAGGCTTTTTTGGATTTATCATCAATAAGCATGTTTATATAAATCAAAATAAAATTACTCTCATATATTTATTTTGTATTTTGTTAATCACGATTGAAAAGCTGTTTACAATCTACTTATAAGTTATTCCAAACAAACCTTAAACCAATTGTCATGATATGTCTCGGGACATATATTATCATCCTCTATTTGTTGGGAAGAATTTAAAATGTATATGAAACTGGCTGAAAGTGCACATAAATACTAAAAAAAAAAATCTCAATTACATAGCATTCCACAATAATTAGTCAGTTTATTAACAATAATTTTTACAGGAGGTTTTCTTCTGCTCAAAGAAAGATCGATAAATATATATTAGCTCATGTTCAGAATTTTTTTTTTTTTGGGTCAGTAGATATGGTTATTTTATTCCTTCCTTGCATCTAAAGTTATATATCATGCCATAATAAGCATAAAGATTATATTATTTAATGTACTTAAGTTTCCTACAATTACCAAGAAATTATGTCACGCCTAAGCTGGTTAGACCAAATGATTACAATTTTGATAATATTTCTCTTAAGAAATTTACCGTTTAAAAAAATTACAATGAGATGGGCTGCTTCAAAATTGGCAACAGCTCCTCATCGATTAGTGATATTCAATCTATGCAATCAACCCAAAATTAACGAACAACACAATATAATACTCCTCCGGTCCTAATTATAAGACCCAATTGACTTATTTGAAGAGATTAAGGAAGTAAGTTAAGTTGGTTATTTATAATAAATAACTGTTGTCATTCCTAAAATATCCTTGCTAATTAAGTATATTGGCTAAAACTATCATTATTAGAAGGATTATCTTGGAAAAAAATGCATAAATATAAGAGGCAAAATGGATTGGGATCTTATAATTAGGACCAAATAAAAAGTCAAATGGGGTCTTATAATAAGGACCAGAGGAGTATTATGCAAGTTACTTTTGACAATTGTTTACAGACTAAGAAAATTAGTTAAAAATTTTTAAATCAATGTACAACACAATCTAATATAATGAAGAGTAGCAACTCATCAGATGGAAAAGGTCGAGGAATTCTGGGCTATCTTACCTTGACTTGAAGAATATTATGACTCTAATTCCTATTATAAATGACTTTTAATTCATTCTCACTTACTATAAAATGCATTACATTGATGCAATTTTTCAAATTTATTCTTACTGAAGTTTTTCCTTGCAAATTATTCTTACCTCTCTATCCTTTCTCTCTCTCCAACAAAAGTTAAATATGTATAAAATTAAAAAATTGCATCAGTAATCCTAGAAGTAACCAAACTTTTCTCCTATAAGTAATTTGAGACTCAATGTAGTATTTTTGAGTCACAATGAATAAACTCACTAATTCCACGACATCCAAATATTATCTTTGATCCTAAATATAAGAACTAAAGCATGTTTGGAATCACATTTAAAGAGTAATTATAAACATGTTTCACATAAATCAAAATAAAACTCCTTTTACATATTTGTATTCCATAAATCATGGTTAAAAATCTACTTACAAGTTATTCTAAATAGGCCCTTAGTTTATTATATAATTTATATTACAAACTAGATCTTATATTTAGAACTTAGAAACAGAGGTCACATGTATTTTTCACAATTTGAGTTTGCACAAGAGATAATGAGACGTGACTGACTTGTTTGCATTTACTGCATTTCTAGAAAATCAAATATGATTGTTGATATTATTTCAAAACACCGTCTTTGTAAGAGAAATGGATATGTCTACGTTGAGCTAGCTCCGGAGTATATTAAGAGTGCAATGTGAAATGACCGCGTCTTGGGATCTTTATCCCTGCACTTCTTATTTCTTTTGGTTCTCATTTAGTTCTCGTTCTTAACATAAAATCTAAATGACTGGTTTGTAGATATTAACAAAATTAATTAAGTAAATTACTTATAATAAATATGTGCTTTTTTCATTTTAAGATATCCTCTTTAATCATGTGAGTTAGACTACTCTTAGATAAAAATTTTGCATAATATGTGTAATCAAATATGAATATTTGAAGGGAAAAAATTACATATTTGAAAGATAAAATTAATTTTTTTAATTAATTAAAATCTTATATTTAAAATCCAAATAAGCTTTTCTATCTCTTATATTTAAGATAAGAGGGTGCACATAATTTGCCTTGGCCTCTGTTTTTTATATATATATATATATATATATATATATATCTCTCTCTGCGTGCGTGTGTAGTAGGGGTTTCAGTTCTCTCTTATGACTAGTTAAAGGACTCAATTTTACAAAATAATTTAGTCTGAATTTTATGGATTGAAAAAAAAAATCCTAAGATAGCTACTCTGCATTCATTCAGGCCCTATAATATTCAAATTTAAATTTTAGTCCTACCAAATATCAAATAATTATAAAATTAGAAAAATTTTAAAAACATGCATGCGCATGCCCACACAGCAACACCATGACATGTCCATCTTCTTGTGGCTATGCAAAAAGAATTGGGAAAACAAACGAGCGGCCTTCGCTCGACTCTGCTCTCGACTTTTGATCGCTTCAAACCTATGAAAATAAATATATACTTGGAAGCCTAAGGCATGAAATTTACAGCCTAACATGACAAAAATCCATTCTTCAGGAATGAGTTAATGGAAGATTCATATATTCAGCAGCAAATTCTTCGTCATTTTTCGAGAGCATATCCTTCAAACTACACTCAATATCCCTTCCTTTAAGCACCCAATATCTTGGTTTTATCTTCTTCTCTAGAGAATAGCTAAAGTACCTGGGGTACCCCACCACGTCCCTCACTGGCCTCTCCATGGTGTTCACCAGGAATTCTACTTTGGGTCTCAAAACCTCTTCAATGCTGTATCCAAGCAGAGGAGAAAATGATCGTACCATGAATGCAACGTCTCTTTCAGATAGTCCTAATTTCATCAAGTACATCAACCTGCACAATGATGCCACAAGCTTAAATCATCAGATATTACCTTCTATTAACTGAAGGGAAAGACATTACCTTTCTTTTCTTGTTCTGAAATATCACGAATACTCTTTGTTTTTAACTTCTATTAACTGAAAGTATGGCTGCATATATATTTATCCCTCCCAAGACCTCACCGGGTGAAAGCCTTATATACACTAGGCCACTTTTTTTTTCCTTTAATCCTAAAGTATGGACATGGAGGTCGTTTACTATCATCAGATATTTTTGTCATTTCATTTGCCATTTCGTTTAGAGTATCAGACAAGGTCTTCCTGCACCTCCCCCAAAAACACCTTCTCTTTTTTCTTTACTTGTCATGTCATATTTAAGGATCAAAGAAATCTGGATCTTGCATCTAAGCAGTGCACGATTATTGGGTATCTTCCCAAAACACTTGTTGATGAATAAAAGAGAAACCAGGAACGAGAGTAGCAATTCATACAAGGCTCAGATTTAAGGCAATTCAAAAGGACCAAGAACGTTCAAATCAGTAAACAACCACTAACTGCAAGGATACCCAGAGAGATCCTGGTTGTTAGCAAAACATTGACCAGGTTAAAGTAAAAACGCAACCATGATATGAATGGAAAACCAGAAGATACAAGTTTATGAATTAAAGAATGAACTCGGTTGTAAAATGAGTCAGAACAATACCTGGGTAGCATAGTTCTGTCGGGGTCAGACACAAGAAGCTCTGGATACTTTTTTATAACCCGTGGAAGGTGAGCTTCAGAAACACCAATACCATGTAGGAACTCAACCTTTCTCTTGAGAGTTTTGATAGGGCAGGCAGCAAAGATTTCAGGACAGCGAGCCAATATTGTCCCGATTGTTTGTCTATCAAACCCCATATTTTCAAAGAACAGAACAACCTATGAACAACAATGAACAGGGAGATTACTCTACAATTAAACAATAGCAACACAGCAATTTTATACAGCTCAAAAAACAGTCTTAGATGTACCAGTTGCACCAAGAAGTGTGCTTCTGCCAAGGCAAGAAGAACTAACCACTAAAAGATAAAGCAAGAGATATTCAACAATCAAGTGCCAAAAAGTTCTAAGTTGTTGAAGCAGAAGGCAGTTTAAGGGAGCACTGTTTTAAACCGCTGCACATTCCCTTCCTAAGAAAAACACACCACTCACACTCCGTAATCTGAAGTTCTAACATGATTCCACAATTTTTTTCAGTTTTGACAATGAATACGGAGCATGGGAAACTTAAGCCATGTTGAATGAGTGGTTAACCCATAAATAGTTAAATAAACAGAGAGTTGAAATGGTTTAAAGCCAAGAAACTGAGGGGTCAAGGCATGTTCTTTACTGGATCCTGCATCAACAAAATGTACTGCTGAATGTCAATTCAGTAGGTCACATCATCAGATAACTCTCTAGTCTTAAGGTCCACCAACAGACATATAGTCAGCTGAAATCATTTGCAAGAGATTCCATAATGAAAACAAATAAGCTCATAGTCATCATAATAGTTGGGAATACGGTAACAGTGACTGAGACCCTGAATGTATTGAAGGAGCAAGGGGATCAAACTGATTATCTGAAACTTTCAAGCCAATGCTCTTTTTTTAAAGCCAATTTGCTAATATAGTGGGTCCATGGTTTTGAACAAGAACAATAAAGCAAAGAAGCTGTATCCTGAATTGAAGAATAGGAATATCTTCGAAAGCAAAAAAATTCAGAACAAGAAAGAAAAATATTTTCTTACGAGGATTCACATTAGATACCTCAAAAACATCAGTGTAATCCTTTGATGGATATTTAAGTGCATGTGCAAACTAATTTCCATATGGATACCCAAAAAATAAAGACATTGAAGGGCAAAAAATGTGTTCAATATGCTAGAGAGTAGAAATTCGGAATTGTTATGAAAATGAATAAGCATTTTTATCTTAACAAAATATGGAAAATGCTTTAAATGCATCAAGCTACTTTAACTAGCAATGGCTAAAGGAGTATGCAAAGCAGAGGATACATTAGGATGAAAACAGGACTACCTTGACAAAGTCTTGCGGCTTCTGTAGCAGTAGCTGAGGACTTTTAGCAATGACTTTACCCAACTTCTTGTGTTGAACTCCTAGTTCACGAAACCGATCAACCATCAGTTTTAGCTTGCTCGGTGAACAGCCCAATATATGGGGCCAGCTTTTGATTGCACGATCCACGAATGCCTTCGGAACCTATCATGAAGCATTCTGTTAATAGCTCAGTATTTCTATACATTGTTGTTCTTGCCCCTGAAGTTGCAAGAGTTTTGACTTTTGACTATCGTTATGTTTGCATAGAATTCAAAGAATTGACATGTAATAAGATGGGAGATTGGTGGATGATTAAATAATTAATCACTATTGTATTGAATTCAAAGAATTGACATGTAATGAGATGGGAGATTGGTGGATGATTAAATAGTTAATCACTATTATATTGATAGAGATACGATTGCACTATGTTAATAATGCAACGCTTTCAGAGAATGAAACATCATGGGGCACTAAAAACTGCCACGTGTAAGTTTTCAGAATCAGTTGCAACTTTTTGTTCTACTAGACTGAACTCATGCATAATCAAGAGTCAGAAAGTGTACTTTAGCATTATTTCATTGGACATTTTAAAATAGCATTATAACAACATCGATTATTCCCATTCGTTTAAGGTCTTCACTCCATTCATTTACTATATGTTATACAGGTATATGGAGGAAAACAGCAAAATGTTCCTTGAGTAATAAATATCAGGGAAGCTAACCAGGTCTTTCTACCTTGATGACACCGAACTCATTGAATATAATGCATCATACAACTACTAGCTTGCTCTTTTTTCATAAGAAACTGATAGGATCATGTTTAGGAAGATGCATAAAAAGGGAAAATTACTTTTTGTTCAGGTCTATAAACCATCTCTTTGGGGTTCACCCCCCCGGGCAGGGGGTGTGGAGAATTTGAACTGTGATCTTGGCCCTTGGGTTGTAGAGAGCCAACCTCTCAAAAGTTTGGCAAGTCTATCAGTCCATTGTGTTGTATCTTGTTCTGTTTGTGTATTTTGTTCTGTTCCTTGTTAGCTTGTAATCTTGTAGCTTATATAGCTTTTGTATCAGTGTGTAAAAGTCATCTATTCCCTTGTTATTCAGTAAAACCATTATCAATCTCAAGTGTTCCCTTGTTTATTTTTTACTTTTAGTTTTATTGTAAGTTTGTGTATAAGAGGGTCCCATCAGAAACCAAGACCACTCAACTCACTTTACAACCAGTAATTAGGGAAGAAATAACTTTTCTAGCAGAACCATCACCAAAATTGATCCTCTGTCTTTGTTTTCAAACTCATCTTATAATCTACATATGACATGACCTAGGCACATAAGCACACAAAATTAACACATGTAAACAGAAGCCCGTACCTTCTCTGAATCAAACAAAGAGACAACCTCTTGATAATTGTCTTGAATGCTTTTAGACAGTATCCATGGATATTTTAACAGCAACTTAGCATAATTGTCATTTACACGCCCAATCTACAAAATAAACAGCTAATCAATTCTTAATCACAGAATGGTAATGACATTAAGAATTAGGTTTAAGTGTAGCATTTTAATTCTCAGTTCAACAGAATAAATACCAGTAAAAAAAGAAAAGCATTCTTTATGCACTAGTCATTGCTTTAGCTACTTTAAGCAACACAAGAGTGCATAGTTGCAAAGAATGCTGCATGAGGATGGAATTAAATGATTTCCAGAATGACAAACTTTGATTGATTAATCACCCGCATGACAAAGATTTCGAAGTTCCATGTAAAGAACGTGGAGGTCAAAATTTAATGACAATGAAAGAGAGACTGAGATGAGATCACACCAAGCTCATTTGAGAAGTACACAAGAAAAGAATGCTAATTCCCAGAAATAATATAACCTTCGCTGTTAAAAATTATTAAAAATGACGTGGATTTTGATTAAAAATAAAAGAAAACTAGATTTTGTGAATTAAAATAAACATAAAAATCCAAAATAAAATTGAAATACCTCTTTCAAGGCTAGTACTCGAGTTTTAAATACTTCAATGTTCCATAGCAAAGAGGGAGGAAAAGTCAACAGTATATTTCTGATGAGACCTCTTTGGATTCCAACACTCTCAAGAAACGCCGCTAATGGTTTCATGTGAAATTTTACAGATAACAAAAGTAGACGGGGAAATGATTCAATTAAAAAATCAAAAGCAGCATCGCTGGAATTCAACATATTTAAACCTCCTCGCCTTGCTTCAACCTACGGCAGGAGACAAAAAATTCAGCTGAAAATTTTATAAGAGACCAAATATTTAAAAAATAACATCTAAATTAAAAATTAATACAGAACCAACAAAAGCGGGGGTAGGGATTACAAAAAATAAAAATGTTTGAAGAGCAAAACACAACAGAACATTGCTGAAAGACAAACACATATTCAACCTTCTCAAAAAAGGACAAAGTCTGCTGCAGATCTTCATCAATAGGAATTGATATCTGCATCATCATATTGCGAACTCTTCTGGTCGGGAATTCATAACTTTCACTGCCAGAAAAGAACAGTTCCTTCATACACTTGACCTATAAGCAGGAACAATTAGGGTTGGCATATAATGTTAATTGCACCATTAAGTAAAAATTGATAGTGTTGAAGAGACTGAAGTTGAAAATTTTGATCGATACAACTTTAGAGTCTGAAGTTATCAGCACAAAGAAAAGTAGCTTACCTTAAGAATGAGTGTTGTAAGTGTTTCTGCAGAAAGATATCTGGCCACATTCATAGCTGAAGAGAGGCTCAAACCGAGACTCTCCAAGTATGCAACTTTGCCATTATCACCTTTCTCCCTGGCAATGTGAACCACTTTATCCTGGAACCCATCAATTTGCTTCTCCCACATTGAAAGTTCGTCCCTTTCCCAAACTTCATCAACCAACATACTCAAATACTTTGGTGAATTAGACGCAATAGAATTAGATTCCTCCTCAGAAATCCCAAATTCTTGAAGAAGTTTTGAAAGAGCATTCTGAGCTTCTGGCAGTTCTCCAGACTCAATATTACTGCACGACGTAGCTCGTAGAGGACCACAACGACGGCTTGATCGAAGCCAAAGTCTTTGACGATTATAGAAACAACGGAGACTAACAGGCCTCACAGAACTAGAAGGAACACTGAAGAGAGAAGGTAAGAGAGAAGAGTGTGGAAGAAAAGAACTTGGTGTGAACTTGGAGCAACTTGGACAACATGTTGCCATTGAACGGAGCTCGATTTCAAACTCGTAGATGGAAGCGGAGAATATACAATGATTTGTTCATCTATAAGTAGCGAATATAAGACAGCAGGAGAAAAACAACGATTCCAAAATACGTCTTAGAAGCACCCAATGTGGCAGACAAGAGCCGATTCAGCCAGAAATACCGCGAATTTATTTGCAAGAAAGCTCTATCAGACATGGAGTGTTTCGGCAGAAGACAGCATCGATTTGACAGATAGGCAGCCGTCAACGGGACCCGATGGACGGTGGACGGCCGGTGGGTGGACGGTGCGACGGGGCTGGGCTACGTGCTCGCAAAAGTGAACTCACGGTTCCGGAAGGAACGAAGGATTAAGGAGGGTTTAGCGGACCCCAAAAAAAAGATTTTTCAAAAAGAAAATAAAATTTAAAAAACACAAACATTACAAATCTTTTTGTGTTGGATTTCTTCTTTTCGGGTATATCACTGTGGCCCAACAGCAAACTGACCCATGGAGATGCCACTATGGGCCTAGAGCAAAGTCACCCGTCCAGTTTCCCATTTAATGCAATTTTCCTATTAATAGAAGAGTTTGGTTTCGGATTATTAAATTAATATAAATTTTCAAGAGATTTTAATTGTTCAATTGCTAAATTAACCTTATCCTTTTTTTCCCCAAATTTTATCAAGTTTTTTTAAAAGTATGTGTGAGCAGTCATAAACAACTCAATGTGTAGCAATTAACAGTTATCTTAGCAGATATTAACGACACATTTTTTAACACTCAACAGCGTGTATTGACAATTAAAAAGACAATCATTAAAAATTTAAGATATAAAAATTAATAACTATCGAATATTAACAACATATTTTCTTAGCTCATAAATCTATACTTCAAAAAATAGATGAGGACGGTTTAATAATTGAACAAGTGGAATCTTTTATAATGAAATCTCTTAGAACTTGAAACTTCAAATTAATTTGATGATTTCAAGGGATTTTTTGTATTTATTTCTCTTAGGGGAACCTCAATGCAATTTTTTCATTATTGTTCTAATATAATTTAAGATGTATTTAGATGCTATTTATAACCTCAACTATAATTTTAGGGATTAACATTCTAAAATGAAATTACAATAAATCATAAAGGTTCACAATAAAAATAAGATAACTACTTAATTGACAATCTCTTCATTTAATTTTCAAATCTTTTTTTGGCACTCTTTAAATATTTTAGAACCTTCAATCATTTCTTCTTTCTTTTTTTTTTTTTTGCCTATTTCTATCATTTGATCAAGCGGAGGAGCTCTTCAATCTAATTTACTATAATTACATTCCTAAATATTCAATCATTTAAATTTGATTATTGACTATTGAGTTTCTCCTTCTCTCTTTTCCTCTATTTCACAACCTGTTTTGCTACCCGCCGCCCCTTCTTTCTTCCTTTCCCTGCCTCTTTTCTAGTATGTATTTCTCTATTTTCTCCCTTTCCCTATCCCTATTCCTATCCTGCATCAAGTCAGTGTCCAAGAAAAACTGTACTGTTTAAGTTGATGGGGGAGTTTGAGGAGTCTTCATACTTTCTTACAAAAATGCTATTTTAAGATAAGTTTCCTCCCGTATTTATTTTAGTATATATTTGAAAAAAAACTAAATCATAATTTTTAAAATATTTTTACGAAATAAATATATAAAAAATTTATCTTATTTTATGTAAAAAAATACTTTCTAAAATATTTTTCTATCTTACCAAACAGTCATTCATCTAAAACAAAATTGCTCGGCTGTCACCTTGCTCCACCCCTTGTATATGATGATGATTTCCTTGTTTTCTTCAAAGGCTACTTGCAGAAGAAAGGCATGCTCTCCTCTACTAACCATCCCTTTGCTCCGCCACCACCCTATGACGTCCACGTCACGTTTCTACCTCACCTGCTGTCGCAGAGCCATCAAAGCTTGTTCTTTCTTTCGGCAGACTCAAAAAAGAGTCTAAACTTTTTAATTCAAACCTTTACCCCAACTTACCAAAATCCCAAGACTTGTTCTGTAAAAAAAAGGGAAAATGACATTGAGGTCCCATGGAGAACAAAATACAGCAAAAAGGTCCCCTGAAATGTCATAATTTTTCTGAAGTCCCAAAGGGACTTAGATGCAATTTTCAGAATCTGTAAATTACTCTCTTGCCCTGCCCTAAGCCATCAGAAACGAAGCAGCAGCATTTCATTTTGGGTGAGACTTCCCGCGCAATATGCTTGAGAAAGAAGACATTGGGAAAGAGGGAAGCAGCCATTGATGATGAATTTCCATGTGAATCTCCACAAACTTTCAGGTGTGAAACTTTCTTTCCTCTTCTCTCCTACCTTTCTTGACAGATTGTGCTTTTGTTTGTTTGGAAATGGGAAATGAAAAAATCGTTTTTGTGTTTTTGGGTTGCTTGTGGGTGGTTTTGGAAATGGGATTCACAAGTTAATCAATAGAAAAGCTGTGTTTTTGGTTGGTGTGTGTTGGTGATTTAAGTTGGGTGTGTAGGATAATCATGGGTGCTCTGTTTTGAGTTGCTTGTGGGTGGTTTTGCTCTGTTCTGATGCTAGTTCAGTGGCAAAGGAAGAAAAAGATGAAGGTTAGTAAGGGTAGAAACCCTTAGCACGAAATGGGATTGTGTTGTCAATCAGGCCGCGATTGTTGTCAATGTGTGCCGCTACACTTGTCAATGTAGCTTCTTAAGTTGTCAATGACAGTTGCGTGCTGGTTGATAGAGGTTTGAGTTACTGATGGTATTTCAAAGCTTTTGTTTTTGGTTTAGGATTCAGATGTTAATGAATGGAAAAGCTGTGGTTTTTGTTAGTGTGTGTTGTGATTTAAGTTGGGTGTGTAGAATGATAATGGGTGCTCTGTTTTTGGGTTGTTTTTGGGTGGTTTTCCTGTGTTCTGATGCTAGTTCAGTGGCAAAGGAAGAGAAAGATGAAGGTTAGTGAGGGTAGAAACCCTTAGCACGAAATGGGATTGTGTTGTCAATCAGGCCGCGATTGTTGTCAATGTGTGCCGCTATACTTGTCAATGTAGCTCCTTAAGTTGTCAATGACAGTTGCGTGCTGGTTGATGCAGGTTTCAGTTACTGATGGTATTTCAAAGCTTGTGTTTTTGGTTTAGGATTCAGATGTTAATGAATGGAGAAGCTGTGTTTTTTGTTGGTGTGTGTTGTGATTTAAGTTGGGTGTGTAGAATGATAATGGGTGCTCTGTTTTTGGGTTGTTTTTGGGTGGTTTTCCTGTGTTCTGATGCTAGTTCAGTGGCAAAGGAAGAAAAAGATGAAGGTTAGTGAGGGTAGAAACCCTTAGCACGAAATGGGATTGTGTTGTCAATCAGGCCGCGATTGTTGTCAATGTGTGCCGCTATACTTGTCAATGTAGCTCCTTAAGTTGTCAATGACAGTTGCGTGCTGGTTGATGCAGGTTTCAGTTACTGATGGCGACTACGTCTGGAAAACATCTATTTTGCTTTGTTCACATAGGGGGAAAGTTTATAAATGATGGAGAAGATAATATGAGATATGTGGGAGGTAGTGTAAGAGCAACCAATGTAAAGGAGGGCACAAGTTATGAAGAATTGAAAGAAATTATATCATCAATTGCTGGAAAAGAAAGCAACTCATTTCTTCTGAAATTCTCTGTTGTGTTTGATAAAAAAACTTTTGTGGAGTTGGTAGATGATGATGGGGTGGAACATTTGATAAAGTTCAATGAAGAAAGTGGTCATGTGTATGTCGAAGAAAATGAAAATGAGGACCACATAGAAGCAACAAGAGATAATACAATGGAGGAGCAAGATGTGTAAGTATAGTTTAAGAAAACTGTTATTGTGATTTCTTAGTATGTCAGTTGTTACTGTATTGCTACCAACTTGTCAATACATGCACCCTGACTTGTCATTTTTTGCAGGATTGATCAATCATTTGGAGGTATCAATGAATTGTCTATGTCTCCACCTACCTTATTTGATGTGATTGGAGAGCCACAATCAATTCCTTGTGCTGTTGAAATGATCCCAACACCTACACCACAAATGAATTCCACAAAATGGAAGGATTTGATTATTGGAGAAGGACAAATATTTCCAAATGCCACTACTCTCCGGAAAACATTATACAAGTACAGCTTATGCCAGAAGTTTTCGTACGTTTTCATTAAGAATAATCAGCAAAAGATCATTGTGAAGTGCAAGGTTGATGGTTGTCCATGGTATATGGGTGCATATTCAATGGGAGCACATCAAGATACTGAGTTTTTAACTATCAGAACGTACAAAAGTGAACACATTCATCATGCACAGGACAACTTAATTGTACCTCACTCAGGAAGGTCAAATTTAGCTGCTTCGATTGTGATTGATGACTTGAGGTGCAATGTTGACAAGAGTCCTAATGAAATCAGAAAGGACTTGTATAAAGAATATGGAGTGCAATTGAACTATACTCAAGCATATAGGGTTAGGAAGAGAGCAGTAATGGAATTACATGGTCGAGTAGAAGATTCTTATAAGGTAATCCCTTGGATGTGTGAGAGACTCATGGAAACTGATCCTGACACAGTTGCAAGATGGGAAGGCTCAGATAGCAACCGATTTGAGAGGCTATTCATTGCATATGGATGCTCAATTAAAGGCTTTGTGGAAGGTTGCAGACCAATTATTTATATAGATGGATGTCATTTGAGTGGTCCTTACAAAGGAACTTTATTATCAGCTTGTGCATTTGATGCAGACAATGAGTTGTTTCCTTTAGCATATGGTATTGTTAGCGGGGAAACAAATGATGAATGGACTTGGTATCTACAGAATCTGAAAGAAATAACCAGATCAGCACAAGTGACAATTGTCTCAGATCGGAGTAATGCTATTATCGGTGCTGTCAAGACAATATTTGATGGTGATAGACATGCTTTTTGCTATCGACATGTGAAAGAAAATTATAGTGCGCAGTATGTGAAAATCAATAGAGGTGTGAGACGGACCTCAGAAAATAACAAGGAGAATGCACTTAATTTACTTGATGGAATTGCATATGCAAGGCATGATAATGAGTTTAATGTTGCAATGGGAAATTTAGATTGTTTTGTCCTCAATTGGCACAATGGGTTGAATCTCATGGGGATGTGGATAGATGGGCGCAAAGTAAATTTCCTTTTAAGAGATGGGATAACATCACCAATAATCTTGCTGAGTCTTTTAATGCATGGATGTTGAAAGAAAGGAAGCACGCCTTGCCGGTTTTGATACAAGAGCATCAAGAGAAGTTGGCCAAGAAGATGGTTGCTAGCAAAATGGGGATGAAAAGCTGGAAAAATGGTGTAGGACCCAATATTGAATCAAAGTTGTCGGAACAAATAGCAAGAGGTGCGTGTATGGAGGCAACATATTATGGTGATGACCATATTTCGGTGCAGACAATACGTGAGGGACGCATCATCTATGTTGCTGTTGATCTGATTTCTCACAGATGCACATGTTTGGCATGGCAAATGAGTGGAATACCTTGTCCACATGCTTGTGCAGCAATCAAACTAGTTCACCGTAGTGTGTATGATTATGTAGATGATTGTTACAAATTGTCCACACAGGAGAAAATATATGCAAGTAGCATGAGGCCAATTGCAACACATGATTGCCCACAGCCTGATGCACCTACTGTGAGTCATATGCTGACCCAAACATTCTTGCATCCACCGATAACCAAAAGGCCTCCAGGAAGGCCAAGGATTAATAGGATAGAATCTCAGTTCCAAAATAAGAAGGTTTATCATTGTGGAAGATGCAAAGAGCCTGGACACACTGCCAAGACATGCAAGAACCCAAATCCCAGCTGAGAACAAATTGAAGTCAGCTATTTTTTGTATATGGATGTGAAGAGAATATTTTGTAAATGGGTGTGAAGGAAATTTTTTGTAAATGGATACACACCACTGGTTAGTTTCATTATGACATGCAACCCCTATGTTTTTTTTGGGATGGGTTGTGAAATAGGTGTAGTTTCATGTATATGAAAGTGTAAATGAAAGTTGGCTATGAATTGGCATGTTACATTGTACTGTCATTTTAGTTGTCATTACCTGCACCCTGAGTTGTCACTAGCCCTGTAATGACTTGTCAATCATTGCACTACGACTTGTCAATGAATTTGCTGATGTAAGTTGTCAACAACATGAATTCAAGTAACATAACCTTTTTGACCATGAAATGATATTTACAATCACTTTGTCATATTATATTTTGGTTGTATGGTTATATATAATCATTATTAATGAAGTGTCAAAAACTTACCTCTCCCTTGTCCCCTGTCAGTGGTGGCTCTGTGACATGTCAATGGAGCACTGTTGCTTGTCAATAACAACACTGTCCCTTGTCAATGTTTATCCGGTTACTTGTCAATGGAGCTCTGTGACTTGTCAATGCAGCACTGTGACTTGTTAATGGCTTCACTGTCCCTTGTCAATGGAGCACTATGACTTATCAATGGAGCTTTGTGACTTGTCAATACAGCACTGTGACTTGTTAATGGCAACACTGTCCCTTGTCAATGGTTGCACTATGACTTGTCAATGGAGCTCTGTGACTTGTCACTATGACTTGTTTGTGTGAACACTGTCCCTTGTCAATGGTCGCTGTCAAGAGAGCATTGTGACTTGTCAATGGAGTACCGTGACTTGTCAATAGTTGCACTATGACTTGTCAATAGGGCACCATGACCTGTCAATGGTGCACTGTGACTTGTCAATGGAACACTGTGACTTGTTATGAAATTCTTGTATTACTTGTCATTAACTCCTGTTATATTAGTTGTTATTTTGGATAACTGACGTTGTTTTCGATAATTAAGAATGTAATAAAACCCTAACAAATTAGTATTACAATGTGATGACAAAGGTAATAATATTATAAACATAACCTGATCAGTTTGTTACAAAATGACCTATTTGCTAATCATCTTAACAACACATATCATGGGCTAAGAGAACAAAAAATTCATAGACCACTCTATCTCCTCTTCTTGGTCTTGTTGTAGTCCGATAGCATCGACATCACTTGACTCCCATGTTCATTACTTGGATGGGTCACCAACCACCACAAACAGCCAACCTTCAACTCTTGTAGCTCATCATTAGAGTATCGTGGCATTGTATATCCTGCATCATCCCGAACGGTGCCATCCCACTCTTGTAGCCAAGAGATAACATGAACTCCACATGAATCACTACCAAGCAAATTGAATATGTTAGCGCCTTGCAATTGTTATTGTGAACAAAAACAACATAACACAATCGAACAGAACATCTACACTTACGTATCATTCTGCACATAGACTTTAGCCCATTTCACTTCGTTGTCAATTTCGTCCTCATTGGCAAACAATTCTGGCTTAACAGCACGTAGCATCGAATGGAAACAGTTCATCTGGAAAAAAACACACACGCACATAATGAACATCCAGTGACAACTACAGAACATCCAGTGACAACTCACAGAGCATGTAGTGACAAGGGACAGAGCATCCAGTGACAACTAACAAAGCATCTAGTGACAACTACCAGAGCATGCAATGACAACTACTACAGCATCTAGGGATAACTAACAGAGCATCCCGTGACAACTAGCATAGCATCCAGTGACAAGGGACAGAGCATCCAGTGAAAACTAACAGAGCATCTGGTGACAACTAACAGGGCATCCATGGCAACTAATATATCATCCAGTGACAAGTAACAGATCATTCAGTGACAACTAACAAATAATATATCATCCAGTGACAAGTAACAAATCATCCAGTGACACCAAGCACAACATCCAGTGACAACTACCAGAGCATGCAATGACAACTAGCACAGCATCCAGTGACAACTACGACAGCATGTAGTGACAAGGGACAGAGCATACAGTGACAACTAGCATGGCATCCAGTGACAAGTAACAGATCATCCGGTGACAACTAGTATAGCATCCAGTGACAACTACCGGAGCATGTAATGACAACTATGCAGACTGCTACTAACAATTATAATAGTCATTGACAAGTATAAAAGCTGTAAATAACTACTCACAGTTTGTGTTGCCATGAACTGTTTGGGGTCGAACTGCCTTTTACTTGTCCTCTTTTTCTTCTTCTTTGCGTCATGTTGTTGCTCACCCCCCTTCTTCTTTGCTTCTTCTTCCTCGGCTTGTAATCTCATGAATGTGATGCTATCAACCAACGAGTCAAGGGCGTGGAAGGTCATGGTCTTTGTCTCAAAAACATAACAAAACCAATGATCTTCAAATAGAGTAGGACCAAAAATGAAATCGCAATCCCCGATATTGTATCCAATATATTCAGGTAATATTTCTTTTTCATGGTCCTCCCATTTCCACCTTAAAGGATTCGCCACCATTTTCTGCATGAAATCTGCAGAAAATATATGACGGTTGACTCGCCCATCTTTTTCCTTTTGATCTCCAACGAATGTCTTCGCCACCATAGTCATAAACTGAAATTGCAAGTACAAACAAATTACAACTCCTTAGCATGCAATAACTCATTCTGATATTAACTATGTACGTGTGACTCACCCTGTCGTTTATCCATCTTCTACGTTGGAGACATTGCAACTCACCACGGGTTAGGAAGTATCCATACATCGATACAAAGTATCTAACACAAATGAAACAATTATGAAGTTAGTAAATTCAGTAAATTCTGTAACATAATACAAAATTGGTCACCAAAACATAATACTTACTGCTCTTGCTCCTCATGGTTACACCTTGCTGTGCACATGTCAAATAAAGCTTGCCTATCATCAATTGTTCTCTTTTTCCCAGCCTTGCTTTTAAATTCCAGAAATGGAGACCTAAGAGCTTTCCCCTTACTTATCACCCTTGTAGATTTCCTCACATGTTCGCTCCCTTTCCCTTGGGTGGCCTCATCCGCTTCTTTGTCCTCTTCATCTTCTTCTCTCTCTTATTTTCTTCTTCATCTTCTTTGTCCTCATTTCCCTTCTTTCTTCCTTTTCATCCTCTTTTTTCCTTGTCATGTGATTCTTGTCCACCCATCTCCTTTTCTGATTGAGCTTCTTGCTCTTCTTCATTCCTATCATCTTGTGATTCAGATTCTTCTTCTTCATTTCTGTCATCTTCTTCCTCATCCTCTGAATCACTTTCTTTCTCAACTTTTTCCTCTTCTGCTTCAGATTCTTCTGCCTCATCTTTGTCCTCTTCACTTGCATTGCCACTACCCTCCATTAGTCTTGACTGAAGGGCCATCATTTCCTCCCCCAGCATAGACACTAATCGAGTATATGTCTTTTTGATCTCCTATACAAATCAAATTCAGAAGAACAGTAAGCAACAGTAGAAAAAACAAAAAATAATCATTAAGCCCACAAGTCCACATACCGGGTGAGTTAAATTTTCAGGATCAAATTTGGTGGATTGCTTTGCCGGATGCAAGAGTCCTCGATTGCTTTCCTTCTCCTCCTTAACTCTTTGCTGCACTTTCTTTTCATCCCAATATGCAACAGCATCCTTTACATGTGCAGCTTTTGTTTCTCCCAATGGAAAATTTTGTAGACAATATAACTGCATGTGACATGAATGATAAGTTAACAGCAACCATTGACAACATTCAGACCATCAAATGACAACAGAAATATACAAATTATTGTAGCACTTACCATTAGGAAGTATAGACAACCTGGCACATTCTTCTTCTTCTCAGTCAACTTGCCTTTTTCCAATTGTTTCTTGTACACTCCAATCCCCTTATATAGTTCATGCAACACATAAGAGGACCAATCAAACTTATCCAATCTATCCTTTGTTGATAGTATTACCTTCAACAAATAATCACCCACACAAATACTTGCATTAGGACATAACAATGTTCCCAATGCATACATGACAAACAGCACCTCAAAATTTTCATCTTGGTTCTCCTCAGTCAACAATGATGCTATCTTCTTGTATGGAATATTGCCATACACAATCCTCCACTGCTTGAACACTTCATCTTCATTATTCACAACTACTTTAATCTCTTCTCCGTCAAATGGTAGCCCCAGAAATTCATGCACATCTTTTGCCCTCATTTCCTTGTCTTCCCTCTTATGGAAATGTTGTTTGATGCAACATCAACTGCAGACATAAACTCTCCACACAATTCTCTTTGAATTGTGTGACAACACACTTCAACCAACTTGTCAAACCCTATTTTTTTCAGCCTATCCATCAGTTCCTTCCTTTCTTTGATGTGCTTGCAAACTTGCATGAATTGTTTTGGTGCACATCTTGTATAGAAAGGAACAATATACTTCTTGGACTTGGTGGGAGGTCTTTGTGCCTTAGCCCTTTCACAATATTCCTCTCTTTGTTGTTCTGATAATTTATCCCATGCCTTTCTCACTTGTGCATTTCCTGCTTCAAGTGATTTGTACTTCTTTGAGCTTTTCTTGTAGAATTCCTCCGTAAACAAGCATAACCGGAGAAATTACTGCTTCTTTGTGCATCCTTCCCATCATCTGGCAATTCTGCTCAAATCCTGAACCCCAACTCTTTCAGACCACAGCAAACTTCTCAAACTAGTTCCAGAAAGATATACCAAAAGAGGGGTTTTTCCAGGTTTCTCAGTATGTCAACAAATGAAACGCTTAATTAGTGATAAAAAGATTCAATTTCTCACCAATAAATGAAAGGCTGCATCATGCATAATTCAGACGCAATCATCAATATGATAATAGAAATCCCAAAAAGGAAAGTAGTAACAATTACAGACCAAACAATCTTGACAAATACTTTGAACTCCAAACAAGGCACATCAATTATTCAGCCTCAAATCTGA